CTATGAAGCGGTATATAAGTCTAACTATTGCTAATTCAAGGTGTTGGTGGTTACCTTTAAAGCGCCACATGGCTTGGGACTAGGTTATCTGTGCAATCACTTTTTCCAAGAGTCTCTATCTGTCCAACTCAATTTAGCAGAATGGGCATGCTGCAGATTCTGTCAAGCAGAGAGTGTTGGCGGTGGGGAGTAGAAAATGGGCTTTTTCTTCAGGGATCCCTGCTCTGTGGAGCATCCTCCCTTTGGAGATTAGAATGGCTCCAATCCTGTCAGCTTTTTGAAAGGGCCTACAAATTTGGCTATGTCCCTGAGCCTGGGGCACTGAATGAGTCATAGGACCCGTTTCATGGCTTTATTGCTAACTGGCCAGGTAGCTTGGCTATTACTTATATCTGTTCTCGATGTTTTTATTGTTTTAAAACTTTTTTAGTATTGTAAATAATTTCTGAATTGTAAGTTGCCTAGAGTAATTGACTGAGATGGCAGGTTGTAAAAATGGAATCTCTCAATCAATCAAATAAACTTACGTAGCTGTCCCTTTCTGTTTTTATCTTTAAAGCCTTCTTATGTCTTAGTAAACTCTTAACACCTAGGATAAAAACAGTATTGGGAGAGATAGATGTTTTGCCAAAGCCTAATATTTTATGTAGAACTATTAAATTAACAGAACAATCAAACAGTCCGCCTTGAAATAAATAAAGATTACTCAGAACAATATAATGTTTCTTCCATATATGGCAATGGAGCTTATGAGAAGAATTTTCCAATAGATGATACCACAATTTTACCGTTGCTGTAGTGAAAATATTAATATGAATATTATAAGAGTTTCTATTTTTAATTCCTATTTGTGCCTTATTTATTTTTCCCCCCAAGGAAAAATAAATGCAAGGTCGTATGAATCTTAATTATAATAGTGGGCAGAATCTTAATTATAATAGTGGGCAGTAATTTGCATTATGATGTTAATATTTTCACGATACCCAAAAAAATATGTGAGCCAAAATCATGATATTGGGATAGTTATAGTTTTTCCAATTTTGGAATGCATCTTTCCACTCACCTCCATGTGTTTATATTCAAGTATTTGCAATAACCCAGCTGGACAGGAAGAGCTAGGTAGTTGAAAGGAAGGAAACAATAATAGAAATGATATGATTCTGCTGAGCTTTGAACTAGCAATTTCTGACATGTTGTGCAAAGCTCTTGACCGCTGTGACGATTCAGTTCCGGCAGGAAAAGTCTCTTAGACTACAGATTGGAGCTACCAGGACCTGAAGGGGAGTGTCTCTATGAGTAGCCAATGAGCTTCCAGAGTGGGACTGTGAGGGCATAACGTTTTCCAATTGGACAAGAGTCCTTAAGGTGATGTGACTGCTTTGAAGCTGCAAGAGGGTATCATCCCCAGGGTTGATTTGTGAAGGGAAGGAGTTGAGTAAAGAATGGAGCCATCTGTGCTACCTTCTCAACATGATCACTATCCCTTTCTGTGCAACAAGGCAACTAGATAATACAGAGGAATCTTTTTTTCCCCAATTGGAAAACGTTATGCCCTCACAGTCCCTCTCTGGAAGCTCATTGGCTACTCATAGAGACNATAAAAACAGTGTATGGATTTGTCATTAGTAGGATATACAGGTGGGATCTCCCCACCCCCACCCTGAAATATTGGCACCTTCTTAAACCAAGACCAGAATTTCCTTATTCCCATCTGGTGGCCAAGCTCAGAATATCCCTGTGAGAATTAGGGAGATAAAAGTTTGTTCTGTGTGGGAGAGCCTGAGAATTGAAGAGATAAAAACTTAAGAATTACATTGAGAAAAGCTTCTCCATGCCCAGATGTTTACTCAACCTCAGAGCAGCTGGAACATTTCCAGCCTATCACTCAGTGCTTTTTTTTTCTTCCTTCTCCCTTTCTTCTCTTTTGCTGTATTTTTCCACCCGTCCGTCGCTTCTTCCTTCTCGCCACTTTTTCATCCCTTTGTCCCTCTCTCTCTCTCCCCATTCCCCTCCTCCCAAATTGCCCTCTTTTCTTCTACCTCCTTCAACTTCTCCCTACTTCGTCCTCCACAACTCCTTTTGTTGTTCGGGCTTTGCAACCTCTCGGAACTTGCTTCGATTCCGCAGCGAAGGGCCAGGATCACGTGCGTTAGTGACAGCCTGTCTCGGCGCGGCCCCGAACACCGCGAGGCTCACATTGGTGCACAGCCGAAGCCGCTGTCCATCCCTCTCCCCCCCCCCCTTCCCCGCTTTCTCACACGCAGAGAGATACATACACACTCAGCACAGGATGGGATGGGAAAGTGGGGGGAGCCGGGGCGGGGCCAGGGACGGCCCCTGCCGATCAGCTGTTCGCTGGATTCTATAACAACAAAAGACTCAGCCGGGAGCTGAGACGGGCCGACGCAACAGGGAGCCTCGAAGGAACGGAGAGGACCGCCGCCCTGCAACCTACCTCAGCCGCCGCCGTCCAGCCACGACGTTCGCAAGGACGGTGAGTGATGCCGCCGTGGCAGCCCTTTGCACCCGGCTGAGCGAATGGGTGGCTGGATGGGTGGCCAAAGCGACCTAAGGGCGCGCGATCTGCCCGGGCATATCCCGCCTGGACGGATCGGTCACGCCCGGAGGCGATATAAAGATCCGAACCGGGGGGGCGAGGAGGATCTCATTGCCGCCGCCGCCGCCGTCTTTAGGTGGGGCGGGCTGATCGACTTCCATCCTTCCGTGTTACCCCCCCCCCATCTTCTGCAAAACTGTAAACAAGCGGACCGTGGCGAGGCGAAGAAGTAACGCCGCAATAACAAAAGTAGTTCCTCTTCTATTCCCCCCCGCCTCCAAAATCGCTCTTCTCCTTCCAAAAGCCGCGTTCTGAGGAAACCCACTTGGCGGCTTTTGCCCCAGGCTCGACCAGCCTTAGCTAACGCGGCTCAGCGCAACCACTTGTGGCGCAGGTCTCGCCGACTCAGCGCTGCGCGTCCTTGCTGCTCGCGTTTCCTCGGAGGGAAGACGCCAGGCAGGTCGGCCAGTCTCAGCGCCCATCGGAGAGAGGCGATTCAGACGGCTGTTCAAATGCAGAGTCCGCTATTCGACTGCCCTTCCGATAGGTGATTTCCATGGGGCTCCCCGGAAGGCGAAGGGATTTCAGAGACTCTTTTTAAGGATGGCCATTTAGATTCGGGGGAGGAGAGGGAACTTCCTACCTGATTTTACCTAGTTTTACATTTCTCTCTCAACTGTATGTGGTCTCGAGTGGCATTTTGGGTGGGTGTTTAGGGGCTACCCGGACCTAAAACCCGGGAATTAGACGGGTTGAGATTATTGGGGGTGGATTTGCCGTTAAGCAACGTGCGCGCAGATTCAGTGGGAGAGCGATTGCAACGTGCTTTATTCTGCATTTATTATGCCCAACGTTAAATCCTACTTTTCCCCAAAACGGATCGGCGATTTGCTTATCCAGGTTCACTTTCGGAGTATTGAATTCTGCTTGTTCTCGCGGAATGGTTGGCTGCGGCTATGAAACTTTGAAATAATAATAATAACCGAAGGGAGAAAGAAAGAAAAACGTGGTATCACTCCAAACTGAGTTTGGGGCGCCTGCGCCAAGGCTTGGCGGCCGGGAAAGGACTCCCTTTTCAACTCTCGAGAAATCCAAGCGGAGGTCAGCATCCCATTTAGCGAGGGTTCCGGGGCGAATACTCCCCAAATGCCCCTTTTAAGTTATCCGCCTGTTGCGACCCTCGGAGTAACGCAGTTCCTTGGGCTGAAGTGCCACCCAAAAGCCGGGCAACGCGGCGGGATTCTGCCTGGTGGCGGCGGGCCTCGATCCTCCCATTGTAGAGCTTCATATTCTTCACTTTCTCTGCCTTAGTTTGCAACCTGCCGCGGGAGTTGCTCTCACGTTTCGCCGCCTCCTGGCGAGATGGAAGAGGAGGAGCGGGAAGTGCTTGGTCCCGCCCAAGGGGCTGGAGAAGTGTCGGGTTGCCCTCTTCCTTTGCATATCCTGTTTTGCTTAAAAAGAAGCGAGAACTGGCCTTTTCTTTAGCCCTTTCTTTCTTCCTTGCTTAACTACTTCGGGGCACTTTCTTGGCGCTCTGGCGTGACTAACCCTCCCCGGAGCAGCCAGGCGGCGCCGCTGCCAGGGAGGAGTTAGCTGGTGAACAAAACAAATCGAACAAAACAAATCGGATACCCTGATTCTCTTCCCTTTCTTGTCAGGGAAATGCCACCAGTCAATCAGTCTGTCTTCCTCTCTCTGTTCCTCCCTCCCTTCTTCTCTCCCCCAAGTCCTCTCAACTACGACAGTTCACTTAGTGACCATTACAACCACACTAAAAACAGTGATTTACCGCCGTTATTCACACTGTAGGGACCCTTGAGGTATCCCCATAGTCATGTGATCAAAATTAGGATGCTTGGCAACTGACTCAATATTTATGACAGTTGCAATGTCCTGGGGTCATGTATTTTATTAATTATCCATTTAAAATTTCTGTCTCCCTCACAGGAAAGAATAGAATGAATTTGACTCCTTTTTATGTTGGTACTGAAAGAGTGGTTGAAGCTCCAACTCAAGTAAGAGAGGAGTAGTAAAACATAAAATGTGTCAGGGTTCCAAATAGCATCCAAAGTTAAATCAGAGGCCTTTGGCGGCCTTCTGACAAGCAAAGCCAATGGAGAAGTCGCCTTCGCTGAAGAGCCATGTGATTAACTTAACAACTGCAGGGATTCACTTAGCAACTGTGGCACGAAATATTTCACTTAGCAACAAGAATGTTGGGCTCAATTATGGTCATAAGTCGAGGACTATAAGTCAGATATCTGAGCAGGGGGAAGTTTTTTTTGTGGGGGTGAGGTGGGAGTCATACTGTAAGGAATAAATTCCTAAAATGCACACAGGCAGGCTGTCATTCCCTTGTGTTCAGTACTACAAACCCCATTTTGTGGAGTCCTTGGTGCTCTTTCAACTTGGTGGTTTTCTTGAGGATGTTTCATTACCCAGCTTGCTATCAGTGCTCTGAGGAAGTTAGCTAATTGAGAAATGAAGCATCTGCAAGAAAACAGCCCAGTTTAGAAAGCACCAAGGACTCCACAGTTCAGCACTGAGCTACAACTACTCTCTTATTGAAACCCCACTTTCCCTGACTGCAAACTGAATTTGAAAACTATTCAGAGCCTTTTTAAAGTTATGAGCATCTAAAGGCAACTTGCTGGCTATTGTGAAAGAAAATGCTGAACTAGGGTGGGTTGGTGTCTGATCCAGAGAGTTGTTTTTGAGAGACTTATGGGTAGATAGACATTGGAAACTTCTCCAGTTTTTTTATAGATGAGTATATTTCCTGCTCTGTTTTGTTTTTGTCTGGAATAAGGGTGGGTGGGGGAAATCCCTATTGTTGGATTGACCTTTGAAATTATGTTTAACCAGACATTTACCGTCTTGAATGAAAAGCATGACTCTGTAAGATTATCCCAAAGGGCTAACCATATTTTAGACGGGCCTCCTCCTTATGTGAGGTTTTGAGAACTTCTTCCATTGTTTCTTTAGAAAAGAGTCTTAGTGCAACACTTCCTGGTGTTGGAAGAGACAAAACACACACACACACACATACACACACACACACGTCCAATTTAAAGAGTAAGCAGCAGTAAAGGTAGTGTGTCCGAGATTGTTCTAAGCAGCAAATGTATTGTTATGAAATAGTACAACAGATCATTTTGATTCTTTGGTGAGAAGCGAATCATTTTCCCACCCACCTCCACCCCTTTATGTTTCAAAAGTATTTTTGTACAGACGCCTCCAATATTGGGCAACTGTTCTGTTTGTTTATTTTCACTGCGGGCATGGCTAAATCCAATTTATGTAATCTGATGCAATCTCAGACATCCATGAACATGAACTTCTCAGATTTTAATCAGCGCTGATGCTTGGATGGAGGAAAAAAAAAACTCCTTTAGAGCATTACATTTGTAATGCTCTAAATTTGTAAAGTCCCCTCAGGGAAAAGGGCAGCCTATAAATAATAATAATAATAAAAAAACTAAACTAAAAAATTTGTATTCAGGAGAAGACGGGGTTGGATTGGAATGGTTTTAGCTATATAAGGATTTTCAGATTTATGTATTTTTTCCTATGAAAATAACTATTTTAAATAATCTTTCTACGGTAAACCATGTCTTATGTGGTATGCTTGATTTGTTGTTTGGACAAGTTCTAAATACAATAATATAAATCTGCCGCAACTCTATGCCTTATCCTGTTGCAGCTATGCAAGGCAAGAAAACTGAAGGATCATGGTCAATGGTTTCTGGAGAACACCAGAATTTACTGTAAATCTTTTTCAGTGCTGAGCCACCTGCTGGAAGCAGTGATATGGTCAAAGAGCAAAAGTGTGCTCTGAAAAACAAAGGGGTTTTTAAATATTCCTGCAGTATATTTAAAGAAATGATAAAAGACAAAAAAAAAGCATAAAGTTTGAGGATTTGGAATAGATTCCAAAACACAAAATTTTTGTTTTGTAAGGTCAGAAGAAAAGGAGATCAGGAATATCTTCACACATTGTATTAAACCATAATTACCTTAATGCTGGCTTGTTTAATAAATCATAGTTGGCTGGGTCCATACAGCTTTTGAAGCTATCAGTGGAAGATTGTTGATTATTTTCTCTTTTTATTTTTGTTTCCTTTTTTTAGGGGGAATGCTTGGGGGGAAATAAAGTAATAAACCCACATTGCTAGAAATTAATGATTTTTGGTGCTGAGGTTTAATGATAGTCACAGCATTCATTAAAAACTATAAAATCGAATGCAATCCATGGAATACCCTCCTAGTCTGGACTAAGCCAACACCAAACAGTTCTCATTAGGCTTAGTATAGTTGTGTGACCAACATGGGTGTTTTAGATGAATGAACTTCCAAGATTCAGATTCCTCAGCCAGGGTGGCTACTGCTGAGAATTCTAGGAAATGACCGATGCATTTTTGGAGCCAGCCAGATTGGGGAATTCAATATGTAAGGCGGCCAACATGGGAAAGGAGATATCTGACAACATTAATACATTGCTGATGGCAAAAGGAGAGGTCTCCTTTTCTACGATGCCCTGTGGAAGTCCTGTAGCACCACAGGTGGCAGACCTCTAATTTTATGAGAGCTCCAAAAACCACAAAACAGATCCAGGGAACTTTGTTGAGTCTGTGACACCTTCCAAACTGGTACCCTGGTTTTAACTCTCAGAATTCTTCAACAGGCTCGCCTGGTTATATACCAAACCATGGTAAATACAACACATACAACATACACAACATTATCATGGGCAATGGTGTATTAAAACTGGGGTGAGATTTGCCACTTTCAGGTAGATCACGAATATACAACACACACACACACACACACACACACACACACGTACATATACATGTTTGTGTGTTGGTTATACGTGGTTACGTATACATACAAACAAACAATCTCAGTGAGGTAAGCATTTATCAGGTATGCTCAAGTAGGTTTAATTGAATGCAGATGCATGATGTGTTTTGTGCTTGCACAGAGCATTAAAGTTATGCTTTTCTTATTGTCTTCTCTGCAGGTTTTTGTAGCAACTGTTTACAAACCATGCCTCTCCTCATCCAGTGCCTCAGCTGATAAAAGTTTTTATGCACTTTAATCTTCTACCTGCACCCTTAAACTTTGGCTGGTACGCTGTGGAGTGGTACCTCATCCTGTGGGCGCAAACAAGTGCTAGCCAGAGTCTTGTTTTGTCTTAGTAATGTTCCAGAGGCTGAATAATATGTTCGTGGGAGAACTCAGTGATTTGCCCAGCCAAGAACCAGAGTTCAGTGAGAAAGAAGAAGAAGAAGAGTGGATTCTGGTAGACTTTATCGGTAAGATATCTTTGAAACACAATTGTCTAAATCAGTGTTTCTCAATCTTGGCGACTTTAAGTCCTGTGGACTTCAACTCTCAGAATTCCCCAGCCAGCTGGCTGGGGAATTCTGAGAGTTGAAGTCCACAGGACTTAAAGTCGCCAAGGTTGAGAAACACTGGTCTAAATGGCTGTTCTGATCGAGGCTTCCCAAGAACATGAAGCAAACTCCTGGTCCTGACAAAAACCCCTTTTATTAATTGACTGCAAATTCTGCTCATTCACATACAACAAAGTCTTTCAAGGGAGGATTTACAGTCACAGACCTTATGTGGCGTAGAGAGCTGCCAGGCCGATATCTGCAAAACTTGGCAAGGAGTCTCTGAGAGTCACAAACCAATTAATCGGACCAATTGTCTCCTGCCCTCCTCCCCTTTTGCTCCTCTTTTATTTCCTCTGGGAAGGACCATTCATCGTCCACCTGTGGTCGTACTCCCAATTCGATCCCTGTTCTTTAGTTGTTCCCTTAGTCTAGCAACTCTGCACATGCACACACTGGGAACAGGCTCCAGCTGTTCGTCTGCCTCACTGATGTCTGACTCCGAAGGCATCTGATAACTGGCATACAGCTCTTCCCCCCCCCTCTGCCTCCGACACAGAGCCTTCATCAGAGTCTTTCCCAGACTCCAGGACTGGCCCATGTTCCTCCCCAACCTCCTCACTGTCTGAAACAGCTGCCAGCTCTTCTGGCTGCTGGTGGGCCTAACAATAGCAAATTTTAAACCAATACTTTCTTTATATCCAGGCAATATAGCAAGCTAACACATGGATGATGTGAGGAAGAAAATAATATAACTTCAAGCTGCTTAGCCCACCTTTTCAGAACTAGCATAATTTCATTGTGCTTCAACAATTGATTATAGCAGAAGACTGGCCATTCCTCATTCTTGCTTCTCCCTGTTCCAGTTTGCTCGGTTATTGTTGAACAAAAGGATAAATTCTCAAGGGCTGCTTTTTCCTGCTTGGTAGCAGATTGATAGGCAAAAAGGCCAAAGCAATCCTAGAGGTCATGTTGGCTGAAGTTGATAAGGGTAAAGGGACAGCTTGGAGATGGGTACTGCATGCTTTTGGTTCAAATGTTTACATTGGTGTGAAAATCCTTATCCATAGTAGGAGATAATATCCATGTACCTTCCTCAGCTACAGGAAATGGAATTTTCAACCCCCATAAGTATTGAAACTAAGTTAGTGTGATTCCTGCTTTTTTCTAGCTGCATACATACATATAAAATGTAAGATATAGGTATTAACATAATTAATTGCCAGTTTACTCTCTGGGTATTATGTTTAATTTGATGGAATGTATTATAATATATAGTACTTAACATGAACTGCTTGATTATTTTTGATATTGAAAAGCAATATATAAATTCTGTAAACAATTTATATGTTGTTCCTATAAATAAATCTTCCTTAACTAGGCCCTCTATATGAGTTGAGATATATGTTGTCAACTTATCTAGAGGTCCCTGGCTACTAGAAGGCTAACTCTAGAACAGAGGTGTCAAACTCAGTTTCATTAAGGGCCACATCAGGGTTGTGTTTGACCTTGGAGGGTTAGGGTCACTCATGTTGGGGGCACCTGTGGTGGCCTGACTGCTCTGCCAGCGAAAACTGGCTCCCAATCTCCCTTTTCAGCTGCAACGGCTTCCTACAACGCTCTGCCAGCAAAAACGGAGCTTGGGAGGGTTACCCTTGCAAGCTCCATTTTTGGTTATGACAGCCTCCTGCAACCCACTGCTAGCAAAAATTGAGCTCAAGAGGGCTGCAGACTGCGAGCTCTGTTTTCACAGAGGTACTGCTGGCAGGTTTTTTGCTATTTCCAGGGCGGCCCCACGGGCCAGATCTAAGCATCCCACAGGCCGGATTTGGCCCACGGGCCTTGAGTTTGACACCCCATCTCTAGAATATCCAATCTCCAGATAAGATACTTTGATCGGCTCTTGTATTTCTCAAAGACTGTTGTAATTCTTGATAGATTCCTGTTCAAACTTCTCTACGGTTGATGAAGACGAGGAGGAGGAGGAAGTGGATGACATCTGCAAACCACCTCCTGATGACCACTCACCCATCTTCTCTTGTCTGCCTGATTCCTTGGACTGCTTGGCAGATGCCAGTGAATCCTGCTTCATCCAATTAGACTCGTGCTCCATGGAAGAAAGCTGGTTCATCACTCCCCCTCCGTGTTTTACAGCAGGTGGTTTAACCACTCTCAAAGTAGAAACCAGCCCACTGGAAAATCTGCTCATTGAACATCCCAGCATGTCTGTATATGCAATCCATAATACCTGTCACAACCTCAACAAGAACAATTGTGATGAAAAAGAAGAACAGGAGGAAGAGGAGGAGGAGGAGGAGGAAGTAGTGGAGTCCCACGATGAAAGCAATCATAGGTATGTTCTCTATTCTTTGATTCAGGCAACATGTAGACATGCTAGCAACCAAGTGAAAAAAAAATGGGAAAATTATATTAACACAGCACTGAAAATTATTATGAGTGGTGTGAATGAGCAGAATGCTTTTCTCCTTGCTCCCCCCACTCTGCCCCTTCATCACTGTCCTTCATTTGTCCTCTTCTTTTATCTTCTTTGTATGGAATCAATGCCTTTGTCATTGCTTGCTTGTAAACAACTAACAGGAGCGAGCGGGAAAAGCATTGAAGACAGATAGACAAGAAAATACCAGGAACTGGAGGCGAGTCCCCTATTGACATGTGGCCTTGGTGATACCTTTTTGTCATCAAAACTGCTTCTGTTGTAAAATGGTTTTACACACATTAATTCATATATCTCAGTAGGGTGAACTGCAGACAGCTGCACAAGTTAACATTTGGAGGAGGAAGAAGGAAAGTGAAGGGGCAGTGGTTGGATAAAAGATTCACGCACGAACGCATGCACACGTATATGAATCAAGAATTTCCTAATATCTTCTGTATAGAGAGGAAGCATTGGCTGTTACTTGAAGCCCTGTTAATCACCTCAATCTTCCACTCCCTTTCTCCAGCCTGTTCCTATAGAAAATGGGCAGTTGGCCATGCATCCAAAGGCTTTCCTTAACTTCCTTTAGGAAAAGAAGTACAGCATCTTCGTATCCCTTTGGGAAAAATGCTGTTCACTTCATTTCAGTGAGACTAGTTGGTTGGATTTACACACACTTTGACCCTTGGTTAAATTAAAGAGGACTTATGGTATTAACCCAGGTTAACTGCACATGCTTGCACTGTGAGCCATTAAGTAACTACAGATAGACCTTGACTTACAACCGCTCACTTAGCAACCATTCTAAGTTATGATGGACCTTCCTGGGGCTACTTACAACTGGAATCAAAGTTTTGATGGCCAATCCCCCCTCCCCCTGGATCCAGTCACATTACTGCACTTCAGGCACTAAGCAATCAGCTTACATTTATGGCTGTTTGCAATGTTCTGCAGCCATGTGACTTTTTTTTTTTTCAAATATCACACTTTTGGTTTTTTGCAAAACTAGGCCATAGCAAACAGTTGGTTTGCTTAACAACATCACAAAAAAGTCATAAAATCAGGTTGGTCATATGGGCGATCCAATTTATGGCTATCGCAAGTTATGACCAAGATGGCTTTGTTATGGCCAGAATTCAAGAACTACTTGGTTGGGCTCACATATTTGCAAATTGGAATGTGATCGACTAGTTTATGATTCGTTGTGTCGTGTATTATTGTGGCTACCTATGAAAACTCTCTGCCATGGGCTCTATAGGCTGTGCTATCAGTTCCATCCTTGTGCTTGGAATTTTAGATCTGAAGTCCAAAACAAAATGGACCAACACGTCCAATGCTACATTGCTGCACTTGCTGCCCACTCAACTTTTCTTGAACAAAGTACCAAGAGTTTTCGTCCTTCCCAGTGGATAAAAGAGTTCAGCGAAAGACAATCCCTGAACAGAAATTCCCTCCGTCGCCAAAATCTCACCAGGGATCCCTACACGCGGCAACTCAAGAGCAGCGGATTTTTTGTTCACCAGCCTTGCCAGCGTCAGTATAATTACTGAGAGTGTTTTGCATTTTTCTCCCCAGAAATAATATTTGTTAACTATTGTGAGACAATGAAGGTGAGAACTGTCTTAGGATGCTCGTGAGTTGTTTTTTACACAATCACTGGAGTGTTACAATTCAGTTGAAAACCACTTTGATTTCAGTGTCACAAAATGCCTTTTCAATGTTTTGTTTGTAGCAGGTAAAACATATGCAGTATGTGTAGTAATGTGTGTGTGATTGTGCCTCTCTGCCTCCCTATGTCAGACTTTATAAATTTTATTAGGTATGGATGGGTTTGTTTGTTTTTTATATTAGTATTTACAGCCAAGTTATAAGGCCTCTTTCAGCCATCTTGTAGTTACAGAATTTCTCAGGGTCACCCATACACTTTCAATGATCTGTGTATACTGTAGATTGTCTTTTAAAATATTAACATGACCATCAAAATACAGGTGGCCTGAATGGCATTATATTCCTAATATGGAATTTATTTTCTATGTAGCAGTAGAAGGAAGGCAAAGAGGGAAAAATGTGTAATCTAATATCTTTCTATGTAGCTTTCAAAATCTCTGGTTTAGTATGGTTTACCAGTTTCCTGTGCAATGGAGGTATTTTGTAGAATGTAATAGACCTACAAATGAAGATCAGTGCAAACCAGGTTTTGAGTATGTGTTTCAGTCATCCTATTGTATAATTAACTTATGGAAATTGTGGTCCAATATATCTAGTACCCAGTTTGGGAAAGACTACTTTGAAGAATGGGAGTAAACTTTTCATAAAAAGCAGTGATAAGCCATGTGGGGGGAAATCCAAAATCTATTATTTTATAATAGTTTAAAGACCATTGAAATTTAACCCAACATTTTCTAGAACTCTCAATCAGGCAAGAAACTACTAAAATGGAAAAGGGAGGAAGTAAAAAAGTTCCAAAATTAGGTCAGATGTCTCAAGTTTCAGACTTACAGTTTGAAGTCCGTCCCTAAATGACTATATATTGAGTGTAGATTCACTATTATTGGTTTTATTGGTTTCAGGTTACACCTGATCTCCATAGACAAAGGAAATGGTATGAAAATACAAAGATTATCCCCAGATAAAATGAAACATTCCTTCTTATTGTCAACAAAGCTAGAGAGTAATTTTTCTTGGATGCATTGGTCTAAAGTCAATTATGCAAAACAATGTAACATTACTTAGTGACTATTTTATAACAGAACATTTACCGTATTTTTCGGAGTATAAGTCACACCAGAGTATAAGGCACAGCAAGGTTTTGAAGAAACAAATTAAAAAAAGTTTTTGCACTTTGCAAACCTCCCCAAAACAGCCCGTTTTTTTGCAAAAATGGGCCCATTTTTTAAAAAAAAGGCACGGATAGCCTTTGGGAGGCTTATAGAGTGCTCCTCGGAGCTGGGTGGGGCAAAAGTGAGCAAAAAACGGCATGTTTTTCGCTCATTTCTGCCCTCCCCAGCCCCCAGGAGCACTCTGGAAGCCTCCTACAGCTACGTAGGAGGTGAAGGGGTGGAGTTTTGGGAGGCAGAAAATGCTGTATTCAGACGCACCCAGTTTTTCAGCCTCTTTTTTGAGGGAAAAAGGTGCATCTTATATTCTGAAAAATACAGTAATCAAAGGTTCTTGAAACTTGTTGAGGTTAATAGGGCTGAAATGCATAACTCTTCTGGTTTGTTTGAATCATTGCCCACCGTGGGTGTTGCATTTTTCAAAATCCTCTTTTGTTTAAATGTGAGACATATAATGCTTTTTCTTCAGGTTTTATTAATTGACGTCAGGCCAAAAGCTGCACTCTCAATTTTGAACTGATTTATAAGCATGATCTGCCACATTTCAGTCCATTAGATTCAATCTACACCAGATTGATGGAAGTTATATTTGTTTTTTTAAGGAACTGCAATTCACAGCTGCCTTCTCAAAACACATTACAGGAATATAATTTATAAAAGGAATGGATAATTGCTGAAGTAGAAATCTGAAATTCCTCTGGCTGTTGTTTCCCTGGCAACCCAAATTTGTCACTGTAATTCTGTATTCCTCACAACTAACTTTTCCTTGATATTCTAAAAAAAAAAAAGATTCATGCTTTTATACAGACACTAATTGTCAAATATCCCAAAAGAAGAGTCCAAAGAATTTACAAGCAATTTAAAACCATAGATTTCAAAGTTCAGTAGCTTTTTGTTTGTTTTCTGGCTGTCCCCACATATTTTTGGGGGGTATATATTTGAATTTGCCATTTGGCTTCCAGGATTCAGGAGAGATGTTACTCTATTAAATTTCTGTGATTTGAATCTTGAATCTTGTTGTTCAGTTTCTAAAAACTGCTAAAGCATTCCTTGTTTTAGTAGTCACTCAGGACCTTTCATCTGTCAAATTCATAGAACTTCACTGTATTCCGCCCCCCCCCCCCTAAAACTCAGGAACCACTTTCAAGTTTGGCTTGGATTTTAAATTGATTAAGTGAAATAACGTACTGTACCAGCAAATGACTCTTAGCCAACTTCATCTTTTTTCCCCTACATCAGTGGTTCCCAAACTTGGCAACTTTAAGATTTGTGGACTTCAACTCCCAGAATTCTCCAGCCAGCTCTGCACAAGTCTTAAAGTTGCCAAGTTTGGGAACCACTGCCCTACATAAACTATTTTTATGCTCATTATCTACTTTTAGGAATTTTAAAATAAAGGCCACATTTATTTCTGTATTCCTGGTTTAGCAAGAATTTGAAGTTAGGACTTATAATTGAGAGGTACAGTTGCTGTCTTTACTGGATAATTTACTAGTGATAGGGAAAAAAAATATGTGCTTGTCAGTTTGTAACATTGGAAATAATGCTATGGTGAAAGGAATTTTTACACACAACTTTAAGCCTGACTCTTTTCCTTGTATATTTATATAGCTTGTTTTATTACGTGCCTGGAACTATTAGAGTATTAGAATTTGTTGCTTTTCAAACAATGTGTGTTTTGTGGCTAGAATATGACTTTTTATATATCTGTATATTTTTTTCCACAAAAAACAAATGTAATAACTTGTAAAAGTGAAGGCCTTGTGTAATGTTGAATGGTATTTCAATAACTTTGCTGGAACTGTTTTTTATACATATTATAAACAAAACTGTGCCTTTTTCAATGACTTGTACACACCAGACTTGAATTTGAAGATACAAAAAAAAAAAGCTTTCTGTTTGGATAAATACTGTATATCAGCCTATGCATTCTCAATGGCAGCTTGTTTGTGGAGCCATTTTCCTTGTGCCTCTGGCAGAACTGTTGGTAAGCAAGATTTAGCCATCCTGTTGATACCATATACAGGTTACAGTACTTAAACATCTCAAAATGACCAGAGCTTGAATAGTTTCTACACCAAGTTCTTGTTCTGGAATGAAAAGGAAATATGCAATATGTTGTGAATATTGCAATATGTTACGAAATTCTGTTGTCTAATGTCAGTTGGTTTTGATATAGTACCATTTCCTTCATTGATTCGCCTACAGCAGGGCATCTTCAGAAGCAATGAGTTAGACTTCAGATTCAGTTGTCTTTGGCCCTTGATCATGCTGGCTGGAGCTGAGGACTGTTGAAGTCTGAGTTGACCCATAAGGACGTCATAAGGTTGCTTATCTTTCTGCTCAGTCATAATCTGCAGTTCAGATCTTCACCAATGACATGTTGCTTGATAAAAACCATTTGACTGCTGTGGGTGAGCAAGGAAGGACATTTTTCTCATACAATTCTAATGCTTAAACTCCCCCCCCCATTCATTTAAAATTTAACCATTTTGCTTCTCCTTATTAGTTTATTCATTTAACAACCATACTGTATTGTCTTTATACAGGTATTGGTAAAAGAGCGCAAAATGCTGTAAAACAGGCTGTTGTTAAAATAGGATATCAGACCTGTCACTCTTCAGATGGATTTATAAAAGGGGAGGGCTGGGTTAACAAGCCCATTAAAAAGTTGTTCAAACTCAACCAGTTGCTCAGGTTTGATAGATTTCTAGCCTGTTAGTTTTCAGTTTCATTGGATAGTTTATTTCTTTCCATACTTTTATCTCCACGTGAGCTATTAACTGTGGTCCAGAATAAAATCTAACAGAAAATGAATGACAAATGAAAATTAATTGGATTTCATCTGATTATTTTTCCATTCTTTTCATTTTGAAAATGCATGGGACTAATTTCTCGTTCATTTTTACAATGATCTATTCCTGTGAAGAAGAAGAGTTTTGCCAAGTGTCTCCATATTTCAATACGTATGTCACAAAAAGATAATATTCCTATATTTAGAAAACCTGAGTGGTTAGTAGAAATTTTCCACCCTGTCCCAATTTATTAGGTTCAGGGCACATAGTATATAGAGTGTACCCAAAGCAGCTACTTTATGGTTATGTGTACATATAGTACTGTGCTAGGCTAGGAGTAACAATACAATGGCATTGAAGCATTTACCTCCCAGTGGCTACACTTCCTTAAACACATTCAAACCACTTAATCCACCAACAAACTTTCCAGGAACTTTGGGCAATGTCCTATCATGTGATGTTACAATAACAGAACCTCTGCTGTCAGGAAGATGTCTTGGATTGCTACTTAAAGAAAAGTTGGATGCTAGTGTTTGTCAATACTACAGTTTGGTTTGGCATATCCGATAAACCAAATCCATTGGGCAGTTTAACATGTACGAATCACTCAATCTTACCTGGAGAAATTGGTGTCTTTTGAGCTGTCTTTATAGGCTGTTTTTTATTGATATATTAATGGTAAAATATTGGCCTGACTCTATTTGCACACACCATTAATGTGAATTGTTGCTTTCTATTACACTCAAAAGAGCAGCCAGACCAGGAATTTTGTAATGAAAGCCTTCTTTCGGATCGGTTTCTCTCCCATCTATTCCTTGTGTGTGTTATATTTTGGGCAACAGCATCATTGTGTCATTTGGTCATGGTTTGGTTTCCTTTGGGCCACAATGCTGGTCTACACTACTGTTCTAGGGCAATTTCTTCTGTGAATTCATCACATTAACACATTGCCAGTTGTGATAGAGGCACGGATATTTTCACATTCGGACTTTGTTGTAGGCTAGCAATCTAATAGGTCAAATAAAAGGGTTTTAAGGGTCTCCAGGAAAAAAAGGGAAATAAATCATAATAACTCATCTATATACCTTAAGTATTTTGTTTCATAATGTGCTCTGGAGAAACAGTCAATAAAAAGGCCAATTGATAAAAGTTTTCAGAATCCAATGTTTGCTCTATATTAATCATTTCTGTGTGAGAGAGAGAAAGAGAGAGGGGGAGAGATAGATTGATTTGCTGAAATGCTGAAAAGGTTGGGGGGGATGGTAGGGGGAGGGAAGTTAATATTTGTAAAAGTTTTTTTTCCAAAAATTTCATTAAAAAAAAATATTGAAAAATCCTTTAGTGGTTCTGCACTGAGAAGTGTGAGGTACCAAATGATCTCCCCAGATAACTACCAACTATGGTCTGATTAAATACCCTTTTGTGTCTAAGGGGAATCCTGATACAAATTGCAATAAATAAGGAAAATGTAATTGTAGAGCAGTCCTTTGCATAAAGTTTCATCTCTGTAATTCTTTGTAGGGCTAGAAAAGTCTGAACCCCAAAACAGACATCAATGATGGCAAATACCACTGAACTCCAATAGGTGGACCAGTGGTCTTAACTTTAGCTACTTGAGATTTTTAGCCTTTTTGTTTCTCATCTCTTCTGAATCTGGTTTCAAATGCATCAAATTTGTATTTTTTTAATAAAAACTATTTTGTATCTATTTGTACACAGAGAAACCTTGGATACAGGCATGTGTACACATCTGTGGGTCAAACAAGCTTGCAGAGAACTGCCAGCTAATCAAGATTTACTCTATAAATAGTTTAATCTTTTCCCTCACTTCTGTGCTCACCATCAAGGCAAATTTCCAATGTCTTTAAAATTGCAGTGTATTGGCAATTCTGCACTTGGGCTGATTTTTGTAAGCAAGCCATCATATTGCTACAATGGGGCCTTGGGAGATGAGATGCAGGAGGACAGGCCACCGCTTTCAAAAATAAGGTAGATATCTTGATATTTCTGAAACAGCTGCCTAGAAAATGGCAATTCCTTGCCAACTTATAGAGGGCTATTGCCAAAAGGATATTTTGAGATAATTTAGGAGTGTAAACCCTAGTTACAGCATCATTTGACCATGGAGGTTCATGTAGCACAGAACTACAGCTTTTTCTGGAAGACTCTTCAAATAAGGCTCCTTGTTAAATATAA